AAATTAGTCTTCACTTGTAAATAGACAGTGAAACAGAAGGGGTGAGCTGTCTTATTATTTCCTTGTACTGTTTTCTCCTGTTTAGTTCAGTCAGGGAGTTAGGTGCAGTCTTTGGTTTTGTTCACATAGGGTTTCAGACAACACCTCCTCTCCTGAGTTAGCTTGTTGTGTTTGTTATTTTGGCCTTTGTTCACCCCGGAGTTAAGTTTTCAGTGTAGACAAATAAAGCACTCTTCACTTAACAGATTGTTTTTTCTGTGTATGGTTTTGGGGACCAGGGCGGGGTCACTTCCTTTTTAACTCTTGTGCTACGTTCCTGTACCCCTAGACTGGGCGTAACAGTATGACTTAAAGCAGTCGTGGTTTGTCTTGAACTAGCTGTGTGCAGGCAGGAAATGGACCCAAACACAAACTCAAGAGAAACAGAATAAAATGCAACTTTATGTACAGAATGTCAAAAAGGGCGAAACAAAACTAAACTGGGAAATACTAAAGCTGGCTTACGAGGAGACACAGAACTGAGGGAGACGCAGACATAAATACACCGAAGGATAACGAGGGACGTTGGAGCACACAGGGAACACAGCTGATACTGATAATCTTAACGAGACAGGGCAGGAGGAAACACAACGTGACGCACACTGACAAGTGACTATCAAAATAAAACAGGAAGCACAGAGACGCAGACCAGAGAGGAAGAGCACAGACATACCAGGCTGGGAAAATATAGAATAAAAGACAGGAAGAGAAACGAGGCATACACACAGGGGGTAACGACACAAGGGGGAATCTGATAAACTACACTCAACAACCATGAGACAAGAAAACAAGAAAACTAAGAACACGACCCAAGCAACAATGACCCAGAACCTAGTGATGGCCCGCTTGAAGCTGACGCTCCGGTGCGTGTGTCACAAAAATCAACGCGCTGCTTCAGAAGCTCTGTGTCGAAGCTTGATTCACCAGAGTCACGTGATCAGTGACGTCCGAAGCTTCTTTTAGAGCCTAACCGCTTCAGTGTCTGAGTCAATGGTTTAAAAGGAAGTGAATCATTCGCGGGATTTGTGGAGTGTTTTGATGGTGACAGCAAACCACTGATCATTCCACTGAGAGATTTGGAGCCAGCGAGGAAGAGAGGAGGTTCTGTTGTGTGGGAGGATTTTGAGTTGATTTTGGTCGATCGGGTGAGTTTTCCAGCTTTGTGTTCTTGTTGTTTGCTTTTGTTTTGTGCGTTTATTTTATCTGACAACGGGAAAAACTTAAAATGTCAAAAATCTGCCTCCATAATATAAATATCATTAAATAACTTTAGAAACACTTCCACGTGACTCTTTACACTTAATGTTATAAAAACATGTATTTAATTTTTAATTAATGTTAGTCTGCCAATTGTGCAGCAATTTAATTAATTAAAGACTGTATAACTGCATCTCTACCAGTTTCTCTGCACTGCAGGCTCCTCTGTGCCATGTGAAGGGATTTTGCTTAAGGCAGGAGAAATGATCTAAATATAAAAGGAGCAGGTTCGGCCATCGCAGAGTGGAACAAGTTCTCTTCTTAAATAAAAATGAAAAAGGGTTACCTTAAATGCATCGTGTTTTTAATTTACAAGTTCATGAGCATTTTCCTTTTCCAGTTCACAATCAATTCTACCCCCAGGTCCAAAATATGTCTGGGAAAATGTCCCTAATATAATATTATTTATAAATATACCCATCTAGCGGTTAATTGCATATGGGACCTAACAGCAGAAGCATACTCCATAATATGTTTTACATTATTATATGTATATTATATGTAACGTGGTGTTTTTCAATTATTGTATTTACTAAGATCAAGAAGTCACAAGCAAAGAAAGACCACACCATGGTGCATGTTTAAACAAGCAGAGTTTACTGGACAAAATTATCTATAATAGAAATAAACAACATTTTTGTCACCCCATAAATACACATTTAAAGCAACACAAAGCGGCCCAATATCAGACAGAAGTCCACTCTGTAGAGTGGGCAATCATTACGAAGCAGTTGGTTTTATTTTGTGGGTTCAAGCTGCGCTTCATATTTCTGGCCACCAGATGTCACCAGAGAGGAGTGTGTTGGAAAGCTTCGAGTAATGAACCGTTTTTCATCTGCCCATCACCACCAGAAGCATCACATGATTTTCTCACCCAATAAAGGAATTTAACTAATTCAAAACAGAAAACAGAAAAAAAGAAACGTCAGCTCACCCCCACCAGACTAATTCATGCACCATGACACGTTTGACTTTGAAGACAACAGGAGGAGACACATGACGGGCTGGGACAATGTACATGAACCCAACACAGACAGGAGAGACAGAATGATAACACGAGGGAGACGAGACCGACACAGAGGACAAGACAGACTCACACAGAAACAAGCAAACACTGAAAGCTAACTAAGACACACTGACAGTGAACACTGGAACGTAACATTTGTCCCAGAGCAAAATAACCCCAAATGCAAAATAATCTCAAAATGCTGGGTCCCTGCGCCCTGACAAACAGAGCACAACGTGACTGTTTCAGGGTTTGCTGTGAGGTCATGAGGTCAGGCTGTAGCAGGATTATCAGTGGCTGGTGTACCTGACTTGTTTCAGTGTGATGGAGCATCAGAGAGCAGACTCTGCTGCTGCTGATAGGTTTGTAGCTTGAACC